AGAGAGAGAGAGAGAGAGAGAGAGGGGGGGGGGGGGGGGGGGGGAGGAGGAGAAGTTGATGGTGGAGAACAGGGAAAAAAGAGAAAAAGGAAAGAGAGAGAGAGAGGAGGAAGCGGGGAGGGGAGGAGGAGGGAGGGACGAGGAAAACAGGGATGGAAGAAAACAGGGGAAAAGCGACGTCGCCCCAGGGAAAGGAGGCGGTGGCCGAGCGAGCAGGGGCGGGGAGGGGAGGCGGCGGCGGGGACGGCCTGCGGAGCGCGGGCGCGGGTCACTGGTCACTGCGCCCCGGGCTGGCGTGGCCTCCCGTCGGGTCTGCGCTCCAGCTTCCGGTCCTTGCGCGGCCGCCCGTCCTTCCGGCCCTTCTTCTGGCGGGGGCTGCGTTCTGCAAGAGAAGCGCGGGCCTGTCTGTCCGTCTGATAGACCTGATGGACGGGGCGCCCTGCCCAGGCCCCGGGGTGGGACACTCGGGCTCCGGCCTGCAGGGGGCGCTGTCCCCGCAGCGCAGCGGCTGGGGGCTGGGGAGGGCTGACCTGCGGGGAGTGCCTGCGCTGGGGTCATGGGCGTCCCCAGTTAGGCCTCAGGGTGGCCTCTGGATGGCCTTTGGGTGCCCCCATAACCCTCGCGCGCGTGCCCACCTACTGTGGACGGGCTGTGTGCTGGAGACAGCACCTGTAACCATGTCCCCAGTCACCCCGAAAGAAAAAGGGGCAGCTTCCTCGTTCAGGACCCAGCTGCTGCCCCAAGGCTTCATGGATTTAAAGTCACAGAAGCCAAGAGAGTCAGGGAGGGCCCCCTTGTCCCCATTTGACAGGCATGGAGGAGGCCTGGTCCTCCCTGGTTCCCACCGTGGGGAGGGGTGTGCATCATGACCCCCTGAGTCCCACCCCCTGGATGTCTAATGTGAACATCCTACTGTCTGGGGGGGGGGGGGGGCGGAGGCACAGCTAGGCGGCCAGTGGCACACCCTGAACCAGAGTTTCTGGAGTCCAGTCCTGTGCTTTTCCTTCTAGGTGGCACACTAGGGCAGAGAGGACAAACTGAGTGACCATCGACCAGATGTGGGAGACATGGACATAGTCCCAGCACGAACTCTTTAAGAGCATAAGGGTTGGGGCGTCTCTGCTTCCTCTCCTCCTGGCCAGCCCAGTGCCAGTTGATGAACTGGATGACCTTGACCTTGGAAGGGAGCCCCCTTCCAAGGGCAAACAGCAGACAGTGATGAGGGGAGGGCAGGATATTCCTTTGGTGTCAACTGTGTGCCCATCTTCTCCCAAGTCAGGGCCACAGCTCCAGCCCCAACTCCCCTCTCCGCAGGGCAGTGTCAGGGTCACGCGCTTAGACTGGGCTGCCCCTTTCTGGGGCTCCCACACCCACTTCGAGTGCTCAGGGCCACTGAAGCCAGGCTCCCACTCTCCGCTGCAGGCTGTTAGGGCTCGGGTGAGCACAGCATCTGGGGACAGGCGTGGTGGGTACCCTTGCTGCTTTGGAGGTGGGGGAGCTGGGTGGTTGGTTTGGGTCCTCATCCCTCTCCTGTGCCAGCCTGACAGCTGCCCCTGTCCCATGCGTTCATGCACCCACCTGCCCATCCCCTGACCCTCCCCACCCAGCCAGCCAACAAAAGTTAACTGGACACCTACAGGCCTCGTATGAGGCAGAAGAGAGACATCTGTGCGCGAGGTGGGCAAAGACTTGCTGTCCTTGGAAACCGTGGTCTGGTGAGGACACAGGCTGCCACCAAACCAGCAAGGCTGCTTCAGAAAGGTGTCTGTGCCCTGGTGTGAGTGACGGGAAATGACTCCTGGGAGGGGGACCTAGAAGAGCTCTCTGCAAAGACCCGGATGGTGCAGGGAGCCACCATGGGTCATGAGAATCCCGGATAGTGCAGGGAGCCACCATGGGTCATGAGAATCCCGGGAGCCAGATTTACCAGGTCAGCCCCCAGCATGTGACCAGTGTGGTATGCCTCTGTCCCCGCTGCTGCTGCTGCTGCTGCTGTGGTCATCCGGGGAAGAGCCATCAGCTGTCAGCTCTCAGATCCATGTGAGGTTTGGCCACAGTCATAAGTGCTGTACAGAACTGTCGTCTGTCTGTCTGTGAGGCTACTTCCCTGGATCTGGGGTATCCTCGTTTCTCTGGTCCTGTCTCCATCTCACAGTCTGTCCCCAGCTACCTGGCATGACTCCCAGAGGCTCCATCTCTGCCATCTGCACTCCCAACTCAGACACCACAAGTCTTTCAGAAACCAGGGGTGTCCCGGGGTTCAGATCCTGGTTCCACCCTGTCCCGGCAGTGTGCCCTGAGTTGGCCTGCATCAGGTCTTTCACCCTTAACCATGATGTTAAATTCCTCCTTGCACACACTGATCTGTGTTGGAATTCCAGGTCTACCTTTACCTGACAGTGAGGCCCTTTGTCAAGTGACTCAACCTCTCTAGCTAGGTCTCCATCTCCTCATCTGTAAAAGGGGCATATTTATAATACCTACCTCATAGCATCATTATGTAGATTAAATGAGTCAACAACTGTAGAAAAAATTAGTGCAGTGGCCTGGTATGTAGTATAAGCACAGTTAACATTGCCAATTCCATATTATTGGTGTCCACTGTCACATATGCCCTCCACCCCTGCACCCTCTCTTCTGTTTAAATCCATGGTTCTTAATTCCTGCCTCCAGTATTTGGAAATCTGTGCAGGGTGTTGGCTGCCTCAATGAAGGGGGTCCCACGGCATTCAGTGGACAAGGATGGAGGTGATGCATGGCACAGTGGTCCCCTATTTCATCCACTCCACCCTCATGTTGCTCAGAGCTGAGCTGCTTCATGTGAATGCCGAGCATCTGTGACACTTTCTCTCGTGGAATATTCTAGGACTGTCTGTGTGGCATCAGACAGTGTGACTTTCTTCATCACTGGTCCCCATTTGGGAAGCCACAACTCTGTTGGCCAAGTGCACCCTCCAGAGACACTGGCCACAGCTGTACCCACACTCTGATTCTACTCCCTGAGTGTCCTCTCGTATGTGGGGCCAAAGTGCTTCCATCATGGAATTTCTTTTCTTTCCCTTTTATATTCCAGTTAGGGAGCTACGCGGATATTTCAAAAGTGACCTGTGTCAGTGGGTCACATTATCCATGAATTTCATTTCAGATCAGAAAAGAGCACGTTCCAAAGTCCACGTGTATGAAAGGGGAGTGATCAGTGGGGAAGGGCTGAGTCATCTTAAGGAAGGCGTGGCTGCTGGAGGACTTCACCTGGCTTTGCAGGTACCATCTGTGGGGACAATGTCTCAAGGCCACTAGACGTCACCCTGCACTCACCCACAGGCAGCCCTGCACTCACCTCCTGGGCAGGGCCTCTGGAGGGGACATTTCCTTGACTCAGACAGCAGCTGGCAGGTGGCCGTCTCCTCCTGCCCGGCCCGGCCAGCCTCTCGCACTCGGGTCTCCAGGCCCCAGGCAGAGCCACAGGTCTTCCCATTGTGCATGCAGGGGCTCCAGCTGCCCCAGGGGCCCAGTTCACATTCCTCTGCGGGGCGAAGGGAGAGACAGACAGACAGATGAGGTCTCTGAAAGCGAGTGCCCTTCAGGCCCAAGGTAGGGTCTAGGGTTCTGAGGACACCATCTCCATCTGCAATGGCTCAGTCTGTCGCTAGGAATGGAGGGACACATTCAAAAAGGGGACAATATTCTAAAGAGCCTGGGATGACGCATGTGGAGGCTTGCGGAGCCTGCTCTGGGCCCAAAGCCAGAGAGAGGACCTTCTGGTTTTGAAGGAGGCGCCCCAGGGGAGGTGACACGCTCCTCCAGCGAGGGAGGGGAAGCCGGTCCGCAAAGCCCTGGCCCCGGTGCTGGAAGCCAGGTGGCTAGAGTGGGGGTGAAGGTCCAGAGGGGCAGACAGAGAAGGGGCTGGAGGCTGGCTGGGAAGCCTTCCAAAAAAGACACGGGCTTTGCACCTGATCACCTGCCTTCCATCAACCATAATGTAGAAGCTACCCAAAGCTGCTGTGAGGGAAAGTCAGGTCCCGGACATGCACTTCTTAATAGAGGTAATTTATTTACACACGAACGCGCGCATGCGCACACACGCACACACAGTTCTTTTTTTCACATTTGACTTGGAGGAGACACGGAACACAGGAGGTAGTTGTGAGTACCCCCATTTTGCAGGCGAGGACACTGAGGCCTGGAGTAGTAAAGGGCTTTGGTTGGGGCTCTCGCAGCAGGTTTGAGATGCAGCGGGGCCCAGAAAGCAGGTTTCCAGAACTTAGGATGTTGGTCCTGACACTAGATACATTCTGTGACAAGTCCAGAGTGCCCATGTGCCACTCCAGTGCCGTTGTGGGCAGAGGGCAGCTGAAGACAAGGCACCCAACCTGCCTCCTGGAAACTGTCACCAAAGACATCAGGCCAGAAGGGCCACATGCTCAGTGCACCAGGGAGGCACAAACCAGCAGAGGGGACGCAGGTCGCAGCCTGGGGGACCAGGAAGGCTTCCTGGAGGGGACTCCTGAACTGAGTCATTAAGTGGCACCTTGTGGGGTCGTCTAGGCACAGGGAGGGCAGGAGATGCTCCAGGTAGAGGGATAATCCCAGCGAGGTCCCCAGGGTGATTCCACCTAGGAGACTCCTAGAACGGGCAAGCTGGAGCCCGAACAGAGAGGAGTCGAGTGAGGGAAGGGGAGAGGCTCCAGAAGGGCCCAGACTGCCCAGCTAGGGCGGGGATGTTCTGCCCAAGGTCAATGGGAGCCACAGAAGGGCCTTGAGCAGGAGAGAAACCTGAACAGACTAACGTCTTGAAACAGTCACCCTGGCAGGACAGGGAGCCGAGGCAGGGAGACGGCAGAGGGTGGAGATGTGGGAGGTGGGGGTGGAGTGGGGATCAAGGGTGACAGGTGGGCGGGTTTGGGGGCTTTCTGCTGCTTCAGATTTTCCTCTGAAGTTCTGCCACCAACATATCATGCCCTTATTCTCCTATCTCCCCGCTGAGAGACCCGTCCATGAGAGCAGAGGCTGCTTTGCTGACTAAGGTCACTTAGGAAAGAGCCTGGCCAGGGCAGGTGCACTAGTGATTCCTAGATTGAGGGGGAGGGTGACGCCTGGGTCATGGGCGTGACCACCCAGGAGTCAGCTGGTTACTGATAGAAGGAACCCAGGAGAAGCACAAGCACATTCCCAGGGGACAGGGAATGAGGAGGTGCCTCCAGGGGGTGGGGAATAGGGAGGAGCCTCCAGAGGGGCGGGCAATGGGGAGGAGCCTCCAGAGGGGCGGGCAATGGGGAGGAGCCTCCCGAGAGGTGGGGATGGGGAAGGAGCCCCCAGAGGCAGGTGGGCTGTGGGGCTGCTGCTCAGGGGGACAGGGAGTCGGGAGCCCTCTGCGGTTGGAAGGACCATGACCTTGTGCCCAGGAACGTGCGGGCAGAGATGCCTGGTTCTGGTCAGAATGCCAAGGCACAGCCCGGGGGTAAGGGCGGACCACAGCAGGGTTTGATACGTTGCTGTCAGTAATCGGAGCAGCGATAATAATGACGCTAGCATGCACCGGGCTTATTAAGCCCCAAGTCGCAGCAATACATTTAATGTTCATAACATTTAACTCATTTAATTCTTCAGCCCTCTCCGTGGAGTTGGTTCTGGATTCTACTGTGATTTTCTTTTTAACCTTTGGAGAAATCAAAGGACAGGGAGCATAGTGACTTGCTTGAGGCCACTAATGGGCAGGTTTTAAAGCCGGCGTTTGATGGAGATCTGTTTGATTCCCAAACTGTAGCTCTCCCCAGATCACCCGCCTCAGTGGTGCTGGGCTCCCATGGCCCCGTGGCCTTCTGCCATGTTAGCTTCCTGGTCTCTGGACTCCTCTCCCCACGCCCCTGCTCCAGGGGCCCCACTCACCGTGGCACTCTCGCGTGTTCTGGTGGGTCAAGGTGCCTGGTGGGCAGCTGGGCAGGCACTTCCCCTTGTACAGGTAGAACCGCCGCTTGCACCGGATGCAGAAGTCCTGGCTGAAGCAGCTCTCACAGGTGGCCCCACATTCTGTAACAGAGTCAGGGACAACCCGGGTGAGGACTGCTGTGGGCGGGGGACCTCGTGGGTCTGCCTGAGCAGCCCCGGGTTAGGTGACACTGGCTCAGGACTCAGCGTCGCCTCTGAACTTCAGACTTGGCAAAGTCAGCCTGGACTGCCTGTGAGGAGCTTTCCCTTTCTCATCTGAGCTGAGGCTCAAGGGACTAGCGACTAGCTTGAAGTCACACAGCAAATCTAGGCTGGGAGTGAGGACCCCCAGGCTCTATTTTCACCAAGGGTTGGAGAGAGGGATGATTTGTCCCAGGTCACAGCACAAACAGAGTTAAGAGGTAGGACTCCTTTCCCAATTTGAGCTAATCCCAGAGAAGGTGAGTAATTGCCTAAGGCCACACAGCAAACTAGAGCAGGAGTCACAGTTCCCTATCTTGAGTGCTGATGAAGACAGAGGGGATTGGCTTGCGTAGGGCCTCAGAGACTGTCTGGAACCAAGCAGGGATCCAAGTTTGGCCTCAGGCAGATTCCAGCTCCCCTCTGGATGTGCTGGGGGACAGGGTAGGACAGCACTGCCCAGAAGCCCACCTCCAGCCCAGGACAAGAGAGGATCCACGTACTTTTGCACCTGTTGACCTCCTGGCCGCGGATGCCGAAGAAGCCGAGGGGACAGTCGTGCACGCACTTGCCATACTGGCGGATTCCTTCCCGGCGGATGAACAGGAAGAGCCTCTGCTGGCAGGTGGAGCAGCCATTCTCCTCTGAGCAGATGACACAGCCCGTGCAGTTACCCCCCAGGCCAGTGCCCACTGCCAGCCAGACCAGGGAGGAAGGAGAAGGAGAGGGAGAGAGATGGTCAAGCCATATGTGAGCAGCTCAGACGGTCTCCTTGGGGTATTAACTGGGCGCATGGTACCCTAAAAAAAGACTACATTTCCCAGCTTCCCAAATGTGGTCATGGAGTGTAAGGTAAAGCACTGTGCTTCTAGAAAGCCGTCTTAAAGAACGAGGGGGGTGCCCTTTTGACATCCCCTCATCTTGTCTATTGGGTGGAATGCCGTAGGAGACCAACCTTACACGTGACTGAGTTACACTCCCTGGCTGGGTGCTGAGGCGCTCAGTCCCAGAAACGTGGCAGAGCTTTCCCCACCCTTCTAGGATTAGAGGGTCGGTGTCTCGTGCATGGGTGTGTCTTGCTACAGCCCCATGGGTGAAGCTATGCTCACCTGTTCCTTTGTAATATAACGCCTTGCCCTGTTTAGGATAGAATCTTCCATGGAAGTGCCTTGTGTGTGTCCCCTTCTCTTACTGTGCCCTTGGGTGTGGCCTACCCAGGTGTCAGTCAACTTGCTGACGGTGGACATCAGGAAGATAGACTCAGCCCCTGAAACCTGACCCCTTGCCTCATTTGAGTAGCTTCTCCTCAATAAAAGGGGTCCGTGCGTGCTCTTGCTCTCTCTCTTTCTTTCTGTGGACCCTTAAGGTCAGAGGAGCCGTCACAGCGACCCCAAAAGAAAAAGGTATTTGTGTCTCTCGTGTGGTTATTTTGCGCAGCCCAGTTTAACTGGAGTGACCCCTGAGCCTTTTATTCGCGAGAACAGAAACACGATGAGTTGCGAACATGATGGCTGGAGCACGAGCAGTCATTTTGGATCATAAGGTGAAATCCATGCCCCGAGGATGATGGAGAAGCAAGATCAAAAGAGACTGGACCCCAGAGGAAGGCAGAACTCCTGTACCAGCATGACTGTGGGGCAGCTGCAAGGAGGTGCTGGTCTCTTCTGCTCCAGCTGGACCTAAGCCTTTCAGATCTGTCTCCTTTCCACACCATTTTGAGCACAGAAAAGTGGCCAGGAGAAAAGGGCAGAGATGAGAGCAGAGACAGCAGCAGCAGAGGCCGCCTGACCTTCAGGAAAGGCACAAAGGGGCTCTTGGTGGCAAGGGCACCTTAGAGGAGCCAGGCTTGCATGGCCTCTGCTGCTGCCTCACACAGGCTGGTGGCTGGCAGGTGCCTGCAGAAAGAGGCAGCGGTGTAAGCCTCTGGGGGTAGGAGATGGGGGGAAAGTAAAGGCCATGTGCTTCCTTCAGGAAGCAACCGAGGGAACATTAAAGGGCTTCACGTTCATGCCCACCAAGGGCACACTGTTTAATGAGCTGATCATACACCACAGCTCCCTGGTGCCACCCAGCAGGGGACATTCTTAGCTCTCGCACTCTCAGCCTCTCTCCTGTTCCTCCCAGTGCCCCATCCCCGCTATGGAGGCATCCCCCTGGGTGCCTGTCCCTGGAGCAGGAACCAAGGAGGCCCGGCCCTTCCTCAAGTCAGCAGAGGGTGGTTCCTGGTGTGGCCAGGACACACAGGGACAGGGTCCATGCTGGGGGCAGAGCAGGCTCTCGGCCCATACCTGTCTGAGACCTCTGTCTCCCCTCTCTGTCCATGGGATGAGCATTGCCCTTCCCAAACCTGATCTTCAGCCCCCCGATTTCATGAGCCCCCCAACTGATGCTGCTGATTACCTCATTTCTGTTGCTTGCAACTGAGAAGCCTGACTAAGGCAGACAGACACATACAGTAACTAAGATGCACCTTCATTCTCTTGTTCTAGAAAGGAAAACTCTAACAGGAGGGTAAAGTGTTTTTTGTTTTGTTTTAATCTCCCAAACTGTAGGCCTGCAGGGCCCTGAGAACAAAAAGAAAGTGTGACGCTTTTGTAAGAGGGATCCCCAGGACCCTAGAGAATCACATCCACAGATTTTAACAGAGCCCAGTCTTCCCACTCACTTGGCAACACATTTTAAATTCTGTGATACCAAAGACGGCTCAGGACAAGGGGAACTCCTGCTTCTGATAGGCATGGAAACTTTGGGGAAAAATCTAGCAGTGTCTAGTAACTAGAAGACTTGCCTCTTCAAACACAGCAATTCTACATCTGCTATAACCCTTAGCACATCGCCAGCTCCTACCTGCAGAGCACAGAGTTCCACCCTGGAGCACTGATTCCGCAGGTCTTCAGAGGGGCCTGGGGATATGCATTGCTATCAGAATCCCAGGGATCTTATTCGCTGGTCCAGGGATCAATCACACTTTGAGAATCACTAGGCTGGAGAAACTCTTTTATATGTGCACAAAGATACATGTACAGAGATGTTTACTGCAGAATGGTTTAATAGCAAACAATTGTGAAAAATGAACTCTCCAGCAAAAGAATAAATTCTTGGTGGTGTAGTCACATACCACAATCCAAACGCCACATACACAACCCGGTCATGATAAATGACTGAGGTAGAGTTACAGTTATCATTGTGGCCCCAACTCAAAGACATGCCAAAAGGAAAAGCAACTTGCACCATGAATCACGCAGTAAGAACCATTTCTATCAAATTCAAACGGCTGCAGAACCACACTTTGTAATATTTATGATACAGAAATGTGCATGGAGAGTAAAAACCACATAAGGGATGAACACACACTGAATTCAGGATGGTGGCACCTCTGGGGCCAGGCATCGGGTAAGGGATGGGAAAGATGACCAGGGATTTCGTTTTATCTGTAATATTTCATTTCTTAAAATCAGACGCAACAGTGAATTCTCATTAATTTTTTTAAATTCTTCACTGTAGGTATGAAACAGTTCACAATAAAAATCCTCTTAAAGGAAAAGCATTTAGCCCCTCCGGAGCCCTTGAGCGGGGGTGGACCACTTTCTTTCTCTGGTTTCTTCCCCAGATCCCCAAGCCAAGCTCTGCCCCATCCTCAAGCTGAGATTTGGGGCAAGGGAAGGGGACCAATTCTGGAGAGTGGGAACTGCACTAGGTGTCCCCTGTGTTCCTTCTCCCTGTCCGTCTAAGGAACGGAACCCTGACTTCTAGCGGGGTTCACGCAGTCCAAGAAAGACTCCATTTCCCAGGCTCCTTTGCAGCTACACGTAGTCACATGTCTTGATTCTGGCCAATGGGAGGCGAGTGGGCGTGTCGGGGCAACCCCAGGAAACGTTTGCGCTCTTTGCTCCTAGCTTCCTTTGCCGGTCCCGCTGCAGGGTCGGTAGCCAGAGACGCAGCAGATTTGGGGGTTCAAGGGCCTTACAGAACTTTGTCTGAAACTGTCCCTTCCTCGCCCTCCTCTCCCTTTTGCCTTCCGCCCCTCCTTTGTGCTGAAGAGAAGCTCTCCCTGAGGTTTCAGTTAACTGGCCGAGGGGGTCAAAGGTCCCCACAAGAGGACACACCCACCTCGGTATGACCGAGGCCCCGCCCAGGACAGAGCCTTTCCGTTCGCGGTACCTCTTTTTTCTCTTAAAAAGCGTTTTGCGCCCTGAGCCCCCAACGTTAGAGATTTGGGGTGAAAACAAGCCCCTCTATCTTCTCCAGGGCTTTGAATAAGACCCGATTTCTTCCACCAACTTCTGGCTCCTGGATTTTTGGTCGCTAGAAGAATAGCGAGCAGCAGGGACATTTGATTGCCACAACATCACGGTGCAATTCCACCAGCCCGGGACTGCCTGATGCAGAGATTCTTTCATGGGACTGGGAGGAAAGCGTGGTCATCCTGTTTGGGTTACTGGGTCTTTGTGACATAGAATGATTGATGGCAGGTCAGAGTGACATCAGTGGGGACCAGGGTGCCCTCCTCGGTGCCTCGGCAGTGTGTATGCCCCCGGAGCCAAGATGCTCCAGGGCACTGACAACGGGCAAGGGTTCCCGTGATTGACTTGAGGTGATCCCTGACACCCCGCAGAACAGGAGTTCAAGTTAACGTTCAGTTGCGGAAAAACAAGGTGGTGTTTCCTGCAGACTGAGTTCGTGGACCGAGATGCCACGACATGGGTGTGTTGGCCATTTTTGCAGCTGAGGAAATCAGGCTCAGGGAGGTAAAATGCCACCCTGGGTCATGCAGAATCAATTGGGGCAGGGTCCCAGATCAGTCTGCCCCACGGGGCTCTCCTGGAGCATTTCGGGCAGAGTCTGGGGCAGCAGGGGTGAGCCACCCAGGGCCTCTGACCCACAACCCGATGGGAAGGACTGAAGCCACAGAAGTGATAGCAAAGAGGCTGAGCTAAGGGCCCCAAGATCAGGACAAGGCAAAACTGTTACACTGCTCAAGAGGTTAAATATCACTCAGCCCGATCCCTGCGATTTTACTGGGGACCCAGTTGAAAGGGGTGTAGCCTTCCCCAAGGAAGCCCCAGTTAGGCGACAGCACTATTTATGGAATGATGACTCAACGTGCTGAAGGCAAGAGACCAATTAAGACTTTTCTTTGACCTCGGAGGGTATCAGTTTGCGCGCGCGTGTGTGAGCGGGGGATGGATCTTAACATTTAAAGGGAGGTGGCTGTCTCCTGCTGCATCCTTGGCCCGGCAGTTGGTAGGGTGCCCTCTAGTGCCACCAAGTTGTAATGGCACCTCTGACAACTGAATTCAACAACCAGAAACCTCCAGGCTCCAAAAGATGGCCTTACTCGGGCCTTTTATCCCATCTCTGTAACTCATTAGAAAAACCCAATGATATCCGCCCAGGGTCAGGGTGTAGCTGTCATTACTTTATTTTGATAAGTGATGACAACTAGAATTCGTACAGTACTGCTCTAGAAAGATCCAAACTCAGTGGTTCTTCAGTTTGATCATGCATCAGAATCCTAGGGAGGTTTACAAAGTATCTGGTTTGGGTCTAGGAATGTGCATTTTAACAAGCCCAAAATAAATGTAATAGGTATCTGAGAGATGTCTTCTCTGATCAGTCTCCCTGTCTTGAGAACTGGTGCTAGCAACCATGCTTGTATTTTATGACCTTGTCTTTGACTGATGGCTCATCC